AGTTCTAATTTTGAATCGCGCATAATATGTAAACATGCATACATACATATATACATACATAAATATGTACGTGTTTGTGTATTTTTTTTTATACCATGTGAATGTACCACAAGCATAAAACCAATTACATGTAGAAATCTTTATGACAGCTTAACGGTGACACGTGCGTTTTACGTTCACCAATTCCAACGGCCATTGTGGGCTATTGGAGCAACCACCACTTCCGTCAACCCACTTCTTTTTGCCACCACACTCTGTGCTTAGCTTGACATTAAAATCCTAAATTGAAATTATGCCAGTATTTATACGCATTCTCCGTTCACACCTCAGTATATCCAGTAAACAAACTTAGCTATTTTTTTTTTACCAAGTTTGGTCCCCATAAAGGACTAGTGTTGCAAGCAACGCTTTTTCGGCAATTAGGGTGTTGTGCAGCTATTTAATGTGGTGAAAATTATTTAAGCACTGGAGAGATTTATTCACATGGAATTGGAGATAGGGCTGATAGATTTATTTTAAATAAATTGTGAATCTGCGAAAATATCTTTTCAGCAGATGAATATACTTTTTAACCTTTTTCCCGAAAATTTACATACAGGCTCGAAAATATGCGAGTAACATTAGGTTTGTATAGTAACTTCTCCAGTAAAACATTGCAGCGAGAGCGTAAAAGCAAAATAGAGCGTAAAATTGAGAAGAAGAGAAAACTAGCAGAAGAGGTTATTGAACACAAAACTAGCAAAAACTTGCAAGTTGTTGCACTGCTTTGACAATCTGCTGTAAACATTTTACTATTTATAAATCAGTTTTAAACTCTTTGCTTTACACACAAGCACTTACACTGTCCAGTACATCATTAATATTATGATTTCCACTCATTTTACTTTTGTTTGTGCCAAGGCGAATCAATATAAGGTGATAGCAGGAGTACAAAAACAAAAATTTACATGTATTTTGTTTTCGCTTTGGCGGCATAAACTGTCAAAATCTGTAAGTGTGTGTAGAAATTCAAAAAAAATTTTTCAATTTGATATCAGAAGCCGTGCGGCGAAACACATACACAAAATCAACTGAGCTAGTAACACCACTTTTTATATATTCTTTTGACATTTATTCTTCTTCTTCTGCTAGCTAATTTCTGCTAGTAAAAATTCAGAATTTGCAGCTCTCTCGTGTTGTTACGCTCTCGATTCAGTGCTCTCTTGCAAATTTTTTGGGTTATCATACACTTTTCCAGTAAAAGTTTGCAGGTTCCAGTACAAATTAGTACTGACTATTGGTAACTATACAAACCTATTCAAATATCGTCGCCTGGATGGAAAATTGCCGGAAGCGTCATTTTGACAATTTTCGTTAGTTTCCGACTAATTGACTAAAATTTTTTCGGTTATTTGGTACAAATTGCGTTAGTATTGCTGTCGTACTAAACTAATCAAGATCTTTCAAATAGAGTTATCTGTTCTTCTTTAGTTTCCGACATATTCAGCTTTATCATGAGTTTCATTTTCTAGAACCGGGTCACTTTTCGTTTGCGTGTGTTCACTACAGGTGGATGAAAAAATTGTTGGCGAAATTTTGTTCGGGCGAAACTCACGATTAGGCTGATTAGTAAAAAGTATGGTTAATTTATAAAAATTGTTATCACATTTTGGCGTATATCACTAAAACTGACTGCAAATTTTTTGACAAATGTCGTATACGACAAAATTTTATTAAACTCATAAATGGTTGACACTAAACTAAAAAAAAATAAGATAATTTAAGAATTTCATGAACTAGTACATAGCATTCTCCGACACTTTGGAGAAAATCTGTAGTCGTGTTTCTGAGAAATTGCATTCCAAACTTCAATCGTGAGTTCCCGAAAGTAACTTGTGACAATATTTTATCCAGGGATCTACATAAATTATAATTGTCATTATTTTCGCAGTTGGAGTATATGCCAGACGAGTAACAGGTATATACATACAAGGATACCTAAATTAGCGCGTTGAACTTGTATATTTATCTCTCTCCAACGCATTAATTCTATATACGTAGGTACCAACGCCTGACAAAGTTATGTCTAAATTTAATAATGGCTCTATGACAAAATATTCATGGAATGTATTCGTAGATTTTTATTTACTTCATTTCATACATTAGCATTGATGTTTTGTTTTTCATACATTAGTATTGATGTTTTTTACTAAATACCAGGAATAAATATTTAATAAAAAACTATTTCATTTAAGCTTAACCAACTTTTAGTTGCTCGGAGCTAATTTTGGAAGGCTTCACGAAATATTTTCATAGATAGTAAATGCAACCCTGGGTGCATCATTAACGAGCTGAAAAACCAAACAAATAAAAAAATTCCATCTGAACCAATATTCCCAAAAATTATAAAGCAAAACAAAAACCATTTCTTCTAATTTAAGCACTGTTATTTTTATTATTGCAATACAATTTCGCAGCTCTTCAAACATTTTCCACATTATGCTTTTAGGGCTAGTAGTTTCCGACCCCATTTGCTCGTTTTTTTCTTCAATTCTGAATTTAGGCTAGGCTTCATGGGAACTTACTGTGGGTGCAAACAGACCACATTTTGTAAACTGAATTGTGATATTTAATTTTCTTGTATAATGAAAAATGAATTTAGTGTGCAATTTTTTAAGTTTACTAGATGTAAGACAACTTTTAATTTTCTTTATATATTGCATGCTTTAGTTTTAATTCTGTTTAAGTTAAGTTGTAAAGGTGAAAATAGGCCTCCTGGGCAACAGAGCACATTAAAAAAAAATCGGTAACGCGCGTAAAAGCATACCTCACAAGTGGTGTGCAAAATGCAAGAACAAATAGTAAATGGAATAATTTTCGAAATTATGAAATGGTTATTGGTATTTTCCATCTCAAAGGGGGTGATTAATTTGAACGTTATTTAAGCTGCCTTTACACGGTCGATTTTTGTCGTTTAACCAAAATCTACCCGTGTAAATTGCAATTCAACCGTAAAATGTAAGCGTTTTGGCTAGTCGATATCTTAAGTAAATTTTCCAGTCGACAGATATCGACCCGTGAAAAGGCAACTTCAGGAATTTTTTAATTTTCTTTTTTTTTTTTGCTTGGGCGTCTTTTGAAGATGTGCCAAATTATATTGTCTACATAAATACAAAACAACAATTTCTTTAAGCCATCTTGTGCAGCAATTTGTTGATCTTATCCTCACGGCTACCGAAATCACCAACCTCAACGTAGTGATTAGCCTTCTTGCGCCAGCCTCGGGTTGATGTGTTGAGCTTGAATAGCAACAGGAAGTTGGAGGCTTTCTTGAAGTCGGTTCCAACAGTAAATATTTCGTGCGCCAACTAATCTACGCACTGAATTTCGTGCGCTTTGCGAAATTTGCGTTCGATCACAAAGCTGTCAGAGATTGAGACACGTTGATGGTTGTGCTTGACAATTCCACGTTTGTACATCAATTCACTTCACTTTTCGCACTTTTGTTGCAACTTTGTTGATACCGCGGATACGGATCACAAAAGCCAATTTGGATTTTTCAGGCCCGCAGAATTGGCCGCATTTCTTTGCCACACAGCGCAACTTCATCCCACGGCGTCCATCACCGAGTTTTCTTGTTTGATATTTCTCAGCATGCACGAAGTTTTCACGTTTACAGAGTGCAATCACAGCAGAGCGCTTTAGTTTACGTTTGATCAGGGTAGCAGTTTGCTGACCTGCTTCTTGCTGAACTTCTGCTTCGACTCGGGGACAGGAGGCAGCTTCCTGGAAGATTGTCTGCCCTTTCCTTGCGGTTTCTTACCGGCCGTGAGGGCAGTCATCTTAACTTGTTACTTAGCACGTTGAAAAGGCGAAAAAAAGTTCGCCAAATGCTTGGAGCACATCGTAAATGAGCCACTCGATTTATAACATTTCTATTAAACAATTTAATTAAATACTTTTTAATACATAGATATGCTGCAAGCAGGCACTTACTTTCCCAAATTCCAGCCTGCTCATAGGCATAATTTTCCAAATATGCCCGCTACTTCATTACTAATAACTCCATTTTCCAAAAGCGCCTTCTTTGTTGGCTCAACATATCCTAAAAAGACATACATTTACATTAAACAATAGAAATCGCAAAAATTAGTAAATAAAATACTCCCTTTGTTTTGTTTTGTTGTCAAATTTCTAAGAAATGTGAATTCACCACGATGCGATACAGAAAGAACAAGGACCAGGGATGTAATTTTAAGTACATCTATTATTCAGTGGCAATGCGCAGAGCGTTCGGGGCAGCAATATTAATTTGTATCAAATATATCATTAAATGGTGGTTCTAATACATTTTTTGATATTATTAACCAGTGTACATACATTATATGGTATTTATTTCAAAAATTTATGTACTATATGAACATTTTTTTCAAACATTTCTTAAGATTCTTTCAAGAGTGCTGAAAAGCAACCATGCGTGTAAGAAATTGTGTACTACCTAAAATTTCACCTCTGGAAACTTTATCCCCATAAAGGACTTCACCACAGTTTTTTTACTGGATATACTGAGGTTCACACCTGCTACGTCATGCGGTGAGCCGGTACTTTTATACAAATGCTGCGCTTCCTCTAAAAGGAAATGAAACAATTGTTCTATGGCGCTAAATATTTTTTGACAGTTTGTGTGTTTACTTTTGCGAAGCCTTTATTCCCTTCTCCGAGAGTGTGCCTTTTTGGGCGCATGCGCTGGAACAAGTTCCCTGCAATTGTACTTCCTGGAAAAAATAAGAGCTCAGGAGTTTGGTTAATTTGTTTGGGGCAAGAATATCGAATGCATAGTATTTAAGCACACGTGCGACAAGTTCATTTTATAAATACAAGCTTTTCTTCGTGAAAATAAATCAAAAGTCTTGCATACGTTACAGTTAGTGTAAATAAAACTTTTACCATCCGGCTTAGATTTTTAACCATAAATGAAAGCTGACTACCCGCTGGAGACTTCACTTGCAATGCCGCTTGCTTGTCACTTATCGTTTTAACAGTTCTGCACACTTTCCTGGCATTTTCTCTTTCACTATTCGTCGTTTTGCTAGAACAGAGAGCGAGTGCAACATTCTCAACATTAATGAATATCGTGCATTGGTTTCTGGTTTTGGGAGCCTGCCGAAGCAGCCTAACGTACAGTCGATGTGCGAGTGCGTCCCGGTGCGTTTCAATCCCCGTTAAATAGATGGCTCTTCTTTTATTCACAGCCTGAAAAACAGGAAAGAAAACCATTTAAAAAAGTAAAAAAAAAATTACAGGTGAAAACTGAAAGCCGTAGCCTTCGTATATGCTTTTTAAAAATACCGGCTCTAGCCAACAAAATTAAGATCTGCACAACATTGCTTTGGATGGCAATGATAAAAGCAAAGCATCAATTAAACATGTTAGAGCCAACGCTGGGCAACATTGAAATAACATAAAATCTACAAAGAAGTAATAATTGTGCTGCATAGTCCGGATAAAACTTGGATGGGGCGAGGAGGTGTTGAATGATTTGGAAAACTAACGTGTATCATATCACCCGTAAATAATTATAAAAATCTTAAAGTAGATGTTTAAATGGTTCACAAGTGCTAAAAAATTTGCCTGGTGTTTTCTCCTTAGCTCACGTTTATATACAAAGTGCATATGCTCGTATATTTGTGTAATGACCAACTGGAATATGATTAATACAAACTTAATAAATAATAATGCAAAAAAATGTTTTTGGCAGCTGCATAAGTACGTAAAAGCGAAATTGATGACCCGCTCAGAAAACGTTAGCTAAACCAGTTTGTATTTCATTATTCGTTCGTAGCGTTTAAGGCGTTCCCGGTGATTCGGCGTTATACAAGTCTCTACGAAACTCATTCACCTTTCAGTGCGTTTAAAGAACTTTTCATACTTTTGTGTTGTCTGCCTACCACTTCTGTTTATGCCCTGGCACAGAAGTCAGCCCGGAACTGCTTGACCCAATTTCGCGCGCTGTCAGCTGATAAATATTTGAATTGGGTGTTGTTGGTGCTGCAGCGTGCTTTGCTGTGCTGTATTGAAAAAAGGCGTTGGCGCTAGGCTGTGTGTATTTTTTTCATTCATTTCCAATTGTTGAATGTACTAAAATAAAATTGAAGTTTTAAAAAAGAAGGAAAAACTAAGCAAAAGCGGCTAGAGGCAAAAGAGCGAAAGATTAACAGCTTTACAGTTAGCTGTTTGTTGCGTATACGTACATACATACATAAATATGTACATATCTACTGCCTTAATCCATATGTAAATATTAATACATATGTACATATTTAATTTGGTGCTTCCTCAAGAGAGTTGAAACTTTTCTTCTGGCTGTTGTTACTTCATTCTGTGCATGGACTTTTTGTCTAGTCTACATGGCGCCATTTCGTTGCTTCCTGTCAGCGCTTACACCCAAAGTTTTGAACAACAAAAACTGTTCTTCACCCAACAGCACAGTATATACAGTAATAAACCTTTGTGAGTACTCCTCGGGGGTAAAATCTGATCAGGTTTGATAATGAGAAGGAGCATGCATTTTGTTCATTCAGAGTTGTATACAAAATTACTGTGGTATGAAAGGGAGCAACAACCGTACTATGGCAAAATGGCACAAGTCATGACTGTGTAATAATGACCGAAATTAATTGTAAAAGTGTAAAGACATTGCAAATTTTTGTCTATTATTATAGATACTAGTATAGATTATCATAGTTCAGTGTATAATTTGTTATATAACACCGCACATGATAATGAACTGTTAAATGTTGAAAACGCTTGTAACTTGTAGATCACTCAAACCAGGGTGTGCTTAATGGACTGTCTGGGCGGATGTGCTGGCAGTCATTGGGATTTGTATAGCTATACAAACCTTGTTTTTTTTTTTAAATAAAGACTTAAATATATTCGGAAATTTAGAATTTGGCTTGATAAATTCACAAAATTTACGGTTTTCATAAATAATTTAATCTTACAATGGACTTTTTTTATTTTAAGCTTACATTTAAGAAACCTCCATTCAATGCTATAAGTACGATTTGAGTTTCCAGTTTATAAAACACAAGCATTATTTATGTACTTAACTATTGATATTATTCTTCATTACGCATGAATATCAGCATACACTAAAGATGAATATTATACTTAACCTACATTTTGTTCATAAATAACACATAATTGTGTATATTTTATCCTCGAAATGTACTTTTTCGTGAGGCGAAATTCCCCAAAGTAAGTGTTGCCGTGCGCGAAAAACGAACACGCTGCACACAACCCAAAAGTACTCCTCGGGGACCAAATGGTGAAAAACTGCGGAAAGTTTTATTACTGTATATACTGTGCCCAACAGCTTCTGTTGAAAGTTACTAGACGCTTTGTCCTGTTGTTTGCCGTTTTTCTTTTTGTCTGTTGTAGGTACTCACATTGACGCCGTGGATAGAGGAAACTACATAAATGTTTCCAGCTCATCCGCGTGCACAGTCTCCGTTTTGCTTGTGGCTTTAACAAGCTCTCACTTTATTCCCTAGTAGGAATATGCAGTTATATGACGCTGTGCTTTCGTTAATGAATGGTGATAGTACCGATGGCGACGAAGTACTCTGAATTTTATACCACACAACGAAGTTGATCCATTGAGATTGTTCTGAAATTTAGGATTGTCTGTGCAGATAGTTGTACTAAACTCCCCAAACATCTGATAAGAAGTTGATCAAATGATTCCGCTAAGTAAGGATAGTTATGCGAGTTTTGTAACTTCGGTCTTGAATTTCGCCAATACATGGCATATCGCTTCAAGGGTAAATTCCTCCTGATATACTTACTTATGTAGTTTGTACACAGTATGTAGCGTCCCTATTCATAGGGGGCGTGGCATCTGACATACTGACTAATATGTGAAAACCGATATATCTCTAAACCCAATTATGTTGGGGAAGTGAAACTTAGCAATGATGCATAAATTATAAATACCCTTCTTACGGCGAAAAATGGTAGGTATTGAAGAAGGGGGCGTGCCACCTCCCATAAAAAATCAAATTCTCATATCGTTTATCTCTGAAACCGCTTATGCAAACGTCCTGCAATTTTACACAAACTGAAATTCTCATATCGCTTATTTCTGAAATCGGTTATGCTTACGTCCTCAAAGTTGGACACAACAACATACATACGTACATATCGTCGTTTAAAGTACATAACCGCGTATCGTGATTCTGCAAAACCGCGTAACTCTCATTGGCTGCCAAAAATTGGATTTGCTCACACAAGCTCTTGGCTCAATCCTTATCCATTCGTCCTGAAATATACTAGGCAGATATGCGATTGCTTTATAAAAAAGATAACCATTTTGAAATATGAGTGTTTCTACGCTCTAGAAAATAATTTCTACAACTTCACATGCGCGGTTTTGCATTTTGCTGATACGCGGTTTTGCACTTTAAACGACGATATGTTTCAATACCGTACTTACGGCATACAAACTGAAATTCTCATATCGCTTATCTCTGGAACCGCTTATGCTAACGTCCTGAAATCTGACCAAGCCACAAATGTTATGAATACCCTACTTGGGGCGAAAAGTGGTAGATAATGGAAAACCGAATTTCTAATGTTGCTTATCTCTGGAACCGCTTATGCTAACGTCCTGAAATCTGACAAAGCCACAAATGTTATCAATATCATACTTATGACGAAAAGTGGTAGATAATAGAAAATGGGGCGTGGCATCTCCCATACAAATCGAATTTCTAATATCGCGTATCTCTGGAACCACTTATGTTAACGTCCTGAAATTTGACACAGGTATATATGTAATCACTAACGTACTTTTGGCGAAAAGCGGTATGTATTGGAAAGGGGGATGTGGCATCTCCCATACAAAATGCAATTTCCATATGGTTTATCTCAGAAACCACTAAAGATAAGGTAGTGGAATTTGATACACCTACATCTATATAGATACATATAAAATGGCCAGAATCTTCAACTGGGAACCGTTTTCTCCCAGATTTCTAAATCGCTTTGAATGATTTTTTATTATGTACAAATAATTTTTTAAGGATCAGTGTGTTTGTCTTCCGTTAGCTGGCGCAGGAATTGAGAGCTATCTCTAAAAATCCTATTTAGATATATTATGGTCAGATTTGTGTTGAGTTTTTAACCTTCTAAGAGGCTCTCTGGCCAATATAACCGAAAAACTGTCACTGAGGAACAGTTAGGCATCACATCTATACATATAAATTCTTACATATGTATTACAGGGTTGCAAGAGCTAACTCATGAATTCATCCCATAACTCGAGTCTAGCGTCGCTATTGAGTTGAAACGATCGTTAAGCAGTGGTTGGTGGTGTGAGTGTCAGTTTCGTTTGTTTATGTGATGAATTAACGAGTTTACCCGCTAGTGAAAGACAAGAACTAACATATTTTCTTAGTATCTGCATTCAACTAGTTTCAACTTAACAGTGGCGCTAGACTCGAGTTAATTCATGAGTTGATTCTTGCAGCCCTTTAATATATATATATATGTAGGTATGCATATAAATTCACTATAAGGTTTGGTGGAGGACTTCAATATCGTAATTCGCATAAAGGAGTCAATATTGGCGATAAGCAATATTCAAAAGTGTATGAAAAAGATGTCGAATTCCGACAACTGGGCGATACTAGTATTGATAAATCAGTCACACATACGTTGTCATAAGTGGGCGGTGCGACGCCCATTTCCCTTTTGCAAAAATCTCATTTACTCCTTTTTACACTGAGGGAAATAATGCATAGTAAAAATGAATACTTTATATTTGATTATCGTTTAAAAATGTTCGTATTTAAAAATAATATTTTCATACAAAATTTATTACGCACGTATTTGACTGTTCACATCTGAGTATGTATATGTTAGTGTACACTCGCACCCCAAGCATGCAGAGCGCCGCTCTGAGAGCGGTGACAACACACACATACATACATAGTACATATGTACATGTTTATCCGTAAAAATCGCGTGCTGTGGTGTTAATGGATATTCAACATTTGAAAGCAAATTTATATGCCTGAGTGTAGCATGCCACAATTTGTTGATATCCAGAGATGGTCAGGGTTCGAATTCCACTGCAGGCAACATGCAAGTTAAATATTTTTTTTAGTTTTTGTCTTGATTATTCACTTCACGGATGCCTTTTCATAACGAAAGCGGTCATTTTAATACGCGCGTAATTGAATTGAATATTTACCAATATACAGTACTTTCGTTGACGTTTATAGTAAGGTCAATTACGTTTCTATTTGATTTTAATATTTTTTCCCCTCAGTGTGTTTACTGATTTATGATAGTTTTCGAATTTCTGTAAATTACCGTTATGTGGGAGGTGAGCGTGGTTACAGTCCGATTTCGGCCATTTTCAATACTTATGTCTCAAATTTTGTTGAGATATCTCAAGTTTCACACGAGCTATCGTGTACACGGACAGACGGACGAAACAAATTTGGTTTATAATAAAAAAGGTATATTGAGCGGCAAATAAAAAATATTATCTACCTATATGTATGTGTGTATATGTGCGTGAATCATCCGCTATTGAATATTTTTGTGCTTTTCCGATTACATGAACAAATTTAATTATTGTAAAAATAATCAAGTGCGTGCATCGAGGCACACCTGTTAGCCATCCAAGGTCACAATCCAATCGCTACACAGCAATCCATGATTGTTTGATGACGACAAATTCTTTACAGGTGCGTTAAGGTTCCCGCAGTCAATTTTGTTTAGAAAAACGAATAGAAACTTCAAATGCCAAAATTTTAATATCCTCTTCGTTACGCACAAGTAAAGTGAACGTGAATCTAAAGCACCCACCAAAATCCGATAGATTTATAAATATATACAAAAAAAGTGAACGAAATGTTTTCTTGCTGCCGCGCTAAAACTAAAAAAGACAAAAATAATAAGAAGAGTGATGTGCAAGAAACAAAAGATGAAGTAACGAATGACCGAAAACGAATTATACCAACGATAAAAATTGAAACCGGCAAAACGAGTGATTCCAACGATGAAGAAACAGATTCATCTCCACCACAAAACGGAAATAAAGCTGAAAATGTTGCGAATAATACGAATTCAATATTGCACAGTGAAGTAGCGGAAGCCGAGGAGGCGACAAAAAGTGCAGCGACGGATATTACAGCCGATTCTCATTTAGCGGAAGCAATTAGTATTTGTGCTGTTTTTTTTCAATTTTTTCAGTTAATTTTTTGTTGTATTTGAAATTTACCAGCATTCGAAAGAGGCTATATTACTTTTAATACATAGTCATGTCCGAATAGCGTGAGGAAATAACTGTTGAAATGTTTGTTTTTCGCTACGAATAATGCATGTGTATCTCCTGTCAAAAAAATAATCGAAACATGGCAATAAAACGTCAAAGATCTATTAATAGTCGTTGCAAGCTGAGATGGACGGGCTGACGACCTCCTTATTTAGACTCTGTTCGCAGGAGAGTCAAAATTTCTGAAACGGGCCACTAAAAATTAAGTAGTAGAATTTCAAATATATTTTGGCAGATATTCAAAGGTCTATATGTGAAAATCAATATCTTCAAATATTCTTTGAAAATTTCAATTTTTCACAAATTTATTCATAAATGAATTTTTGACCTACTTTTCATTAATTTTATATATTAATTGCTATATTTCCGTAAATATTCAATGAAAAATAAACAAATTTTAATGGTGTATTCCGAAAAAGTAGCAGAAACGAAAAAAAATATTCATATTGGAAAAATTTTATTTTTTAATATTATTAAATAATAATAAATTTCCCAATAAACAATTGACAATTTAAATGACTTCTCCTTGTGTTCAACAAAAAAAAATTTACGATCTTATTCTATAAAGTATACACTAAAAATAAGTGCAACAATATTTTAGTGCACTCTATCCCATAAAAAAGTACGAATGTTTAAACATTATCGTGGATACGCGAAACCACTACCGACGTTGGAACGCAGCGCCGATATACCTGAGCCCGTTCGTCGTTGCATACTTGCGTTTTAAAAAGCATATAGCTATATTATTATTACATATCGTTATCTTAATATAGAAAGGCCCTAACTGATATTGTCGCTGAAATACAAAAAGCCGTAACTAAGTAAAAATCCAAAATTTCCATTTTGATTGTTTGTGATACATTTCATTGCAATATAAATCCCCACATCATTTTAAGCAATAAAAAATTTGAGTCAGTAATGGCTTTTTTTGCGTTTCAGCGTTTATATGAGTTAGGGCCTTTCTATATTAAGGTAACGATATGTTAATAATTCTTACGATTAATTCTTTATATTAATAGTTATTGAAATCTCAGTGCCTAAATTTATTTTCGAAATCATGAGGCTCCTAAATTCTGAGAATCTTGAGTACAAACTAGAGGTGTGCATAAATGATTTGAAATGCTGTTTATAAAATAATAGTTGATTGTATCAACTTGATACTAGTATTACGGGGTACTAGCACAAAATGACTAACATGGAAAACACTGCTGCCATTCACTTCACTGTTTTACTGCACTCGCTGTACTGCTCCGTTACTTTGCTCTCTTATAAATCAATATTTGCAGTAAGCAAACAAATACTGTCATTGCAGGAGTTATAGTTAGCAGTTTTGATGGCGAGCAAGCATTGATTTCACTTTTTTTACTGTCAAGTGAACTTGATTCACTACTGCATTTCTGATATTGTACACCTCTAGTACAGACGACGCGTCCGTTAAACAAATGAGAATCGCGTATATCAGTGTCACTGCCCACGGAAAAGGAGCTTGCGATGGCATTGGTGGCTGCGTAAAAAAAAATGCATACTGCGCTAGTCTACAGGATAAAACCATTCTTTCGAAACAAAAATTGTTCGACTGATTTTGATTTTTGTACTTTAGCTGAATATAGAAAACATGAGGTCTTGGAGAAACGTTTCCTACAGCCAAAACCATCAAGGGAACACGCCAGTTTCATTGCTACAAACCCTCTGCTTCAAATTGCTTAGAACGTAAGATTTTTTCAAGCCACTCAGAATATGTAATTGTAAAAATATAAGCAAAAAATCAACGTTGTAGTTAAATAACAAAATTGGGAAAAGTTCTTAATTAAAAAATGTTCCATTCATAAAGTACCAATCATTCATAAGATACTTGTGTTGATAAAACGATAATCATGCAACAACGAACGGACCCAGGTTTATCGGCGCTGCGTTCTAACGCCGGTTTCGCGTATCCACGGTAATGTTTTAACATTCGTACTTTTTTATGGGATAGAGTGCACTAAAATATTTTTGCACGAATGGTTAGTGTATACTTTATAGAATAAGATCGTAAATTTATTTTTGTTTAAAACAAGGAGAAGTCAGTTAAATTGTCGATTGTTTATTGGGAAATTTATTATTACTTAATAATATTAAAAAATAAAATTTTTCCAATATGAATATTTTTTCGATTCTGCTACTTTTTCTGAATACAGCATTCAAATTTAGCCCTGGGGCTAGTTAGTTAAGTGTTAAAATAGTATAGCAATTTTTATACTTTTACACAAAAGACGATTTTTATTGAAACACTTTTACTTATTATCCACATATATTATTTATACTCTGACCAAAACTTGCTAAAAGTTGCTTCAAGCATTTAACATACCGAGAGCTCAAACCATTTTCTGGGAAAAACTAAAAAGGTAGGACTGACCTGGGAGTAGTTTTTAAATTGTGCAAATTTCGCTCGTCATTGAGTCAAAAAACGCACACCTTAGTAATTTATGGATGTAGAGTTCCATCAAATATTCTCTGCTGTAGCTGCTGAAAGTCAAATCAACATTTAAAGTGTTATTTATATGAATTTCGACCATGAATTATGGCTGGATAAATATCAATTAAGGCCCATCCACATACAACTTTGGAGTTGCGTTGACGTTGGCGTCGCTTTGACAGCAGCGCGAGTAACGCTAGTGATTGCTACAATGAACACTTAGCAGCGAATACTATGGTCACTGAATTAACATACTAGCGGCAGATAAATAAAAATTGTATATCAACAATTACATTAAAAACGATAAAAAGGGACCTTTTTCACATAATTTTGACAAACGATGCACGCGAAAACTTGAGAGTTGGCCATCTTTCTACTTTGTGTGGCGTTAGCGTTGCCAAATGTTGGCTATGGGTACGGCTGCATTGAAATTCATGTATTCATGGTCAGATGCAGTTCCACTCAACTATATAAATTTGCATTTTGAAGCCACGTTTGAAGAGAAATTCTTCTACATACCCATACGTATTAGTAAGTGTTATCAAGCATAATGCCCAAATGTTTGTCGGAGTATTCTAGCAGTACATATGTGTTCAGTCCTAACTCTAAAGCTGTGAACACTCGAAGACGACATCGCCCCACGTCACGACATTAAGGTTTTATCTATGTACATAATCTAAACACCTTGTTGACGGCGACATGAATTTGTTTGAGTTTGACATAAATGAATCTATATATATATCTATCTGTCGCTTGAAAAATAGAAATAGATTTAATCTAGCTACAGCTACATAAGAGTACCAGTTAAAATAATTTGACAGCAGCTTTGTGGTACTTCATTCACCACCAGCGTTGCCATTTTAGCCGTGACCCAGTGAAGATTTTTAATGAACTCACTGTTTTACTTTCGCATCTATGCTCCCTAGTGGTTATTAGCGCGGACACATTTGATCCTATATGCTCCCCGTTGGAACCATACCTTGCTCCATTTCCTCAGTTTTATCACAGTTTTGAAGAGTATTTAAAAAGAAAAGTAAGCACAAACGCTTTTGACCACGAAGCCGAGAAAATAATTCGAGAAAATGGTCGCTATTTTATTATCACTTTAATAAAGGAATTACGCCAACGCCTCCCTACAAATATTGCCACACTAAAAAAAATTGACTTTTTTCGGTTGGAAATGCATTAAGAGTAATTAAACCAAAAGTATTTGTTCAACTACATCAACAAAAACACAAATATAATGCCGACGAAATAACATCCATAGAGATGCAATGACAACGGTTAACGTTACATACCTGGAGTAATTTAGACTCAACTGTAAAATTTTGGGCAGAAGTTTATCAATTTCGAAATGCCCTAGGAGAAAACCCTTTTGCTGACCTTTCCAACCTAGTTTTTAGTTTTCTTGTTTTGCCTATAAGTAATGCAGAAGTAGAGCGAATATTTAGTTCAATGAATATAATAAAAACTAAGCAAAGAAAGCCAATGTGCGTTAAAACGTTAAACGCTATTTTATATATAAGATACGGTTTAAAACGTGAAGAAAAATGCTGCCATAATTTTACTGTAGATGACGATCTCTTAAAATTAATGAATTCAGGTGATATATACAATAGTGATTCATTTGATGATGAGGAATATACACTCGATATAAATTAATGGTGTTAACTAGTCTTTCGTTTCTTGCGATTTATTTAAATAAAGCATGTGAATTTTCACTAAAACATTTTAGCCGTTTTTAGCCGCTTTTTTTTGCCAATCTAGCCGGTCGGCCCAATAAGTTCTGGCAACACTGTTCACCACTTTTAATTACCTCACGGCTCTCGAAATGTTTCATACCACTTATGTATGTGCTCTCGTTCTTGAGTGAAGATCGACTTCCATTGCTTCTCAATACCGGTTAAATTTTTACAGAATTTACATATATTTTGGAAATTATAAACAAACGCATCATCACACTTTCATCATTTTACTTTCCATAGCATTGAAAATATGTAATTGGAATGTTTTTCAATTGTCCTTGTATAATGATGGTATAAACCTTTTCATTTCTAATTGCCGCCATGCTATTGTACATATTGCCTTCACAGCGGATAGGGCCCAAAGTGATGAACAGAAGAAGTCCTCACCGACGAGCGTTAGCATCGATAAAAGTTCCAATACAACACAAGATAAAATAAATTCCGATAAAACTTCAACAGTAGCCACTGCGAACTCTGCAGTAACTGCGACTTTGGCGAATCATGAAGCACCGGAGAATGAAGTTACTACTGGTTTGAATGGCCAAGCCGAGGCTATTGCAGGCACCACACCAGTTAAAATTTGCCTGTCGCGTCACAATTCCACGCATACATCGATAAAAAAGAAGGTGAATATCAGCTCACATGCTGAAATAATCGAACCAGATCCCCTGCCTCCGCCTCCATACGATCCCATTGCATTGGCTGTTGACGACGATGATGTCTTCTCCGATTCACTGCCCCCGCCAAAACGTGAAAGCATGTGCGCACCCTATATCGAGCCCAGTGAAGTTCCAGAGACGGCGGCATATGCCCATGGGCTGCCCGAATGGTTCAACGATGAAAGAATTAATGACATGTAATTTAAAGTTCCTCTACATATGTATATCTGTGTTCGTATGGAAAAGTAGCTTATGTCGAAAGGTTGGCTTTAGTATAATGCGGCAATCCCTTTATTTTTTAAACGGCAAGGAATTTTTTGATGAGACTTAATAAGAATATTGACTTGCTAGTATCGGAACTATTTCTTCCACGTTTATTTGCTAAAAGTTGTTCAACGGCTTACCGCCAGTGAGTCATTCGCAATCGTATGCTGCGAATGCCGATTTATACTAAAGCCAGCCTTTCGACATAAGCTACTTTTCCATATGAACACAGATATATTCCCCAAAATGTCTTGTTTTGTTTTTGGCCTGAATCTTTATAAAGTTTTATTTCCTTCTTTTTTGTCTTATTAAGTATTTGTTTATGCATATGAAGTAAGGAAAAGTACCACGGACACACGCAATACCATAATATTTAAAAAAATATAGTTCGAAGTACATAAGAGGACCAGGACGATTTGCGTTATAGAAACTCAGCAGCAAGTTTAGGTTCACAATTGAAAAATGTCACCTCATTAACCCCTGCCAAGATACATACTGTTGTGTAAGTCTTCCATGTACATAAGTTACAGTCAAATAATTAATAATTTGCGATACAAATTCTTTTTGTGATGAAAAACCGAAATTTCGGCAATGATAGTAAGCGTTTGTTTCTAAATATAATGTATTGACAGTTAAAACTGAATTTAAGGGCCTTATTCTGTATCTCGAACGATAGGCAAAACGAACGATTCGTCTGCAGACGACAACCTCTCTGATTGCGATTTTAAACTCTATCGGTCGTCTTCGTCTTGCTTTTCATACATCACGTTGCAATGGTCTCGGTTGCGTTTAAACCGGCTAAAATGATGCCGCCGGACTAATTTTTGAAGCATTCCTCTGCAGACGAATCGTTCGTGTTGCCTATCGTTCGTGATACAGAATAAGACTGCAAATCATTCTTACTTTAGACCGATATGCTTATGTATGTATTTTTATTTTGATAATTTAATAAGGACAGCAGTTATCGCTCACTCACTTAATTGAGAATGTTTAGCTTTTCTTTCAAAAGAAAATGGAGGAGATTCAATATTTGGTTGGAAATCTGTTCTTTTCATTTACATATAATCGAAAAAAGGAGTATTACTATACATATAGTATCTACATATTTTGAAAAACTAATGAAAGATAAACAGACTTACGCACTCTGATACGAAGAGCTAAAAAATCTGGAAATTTTGGGCACCTACTGCAGACTTTCCAAGGATGATTGTAGGCTGAAAAATATTTAGATATGTATATAAAGGGGGGCGTTTTACAAACTGCATATCTCTGGAAGTATTCGTTCTAGTTCAGAACTTTTCTTCTATGTGGTTGTTGTTGTGTTGCTCTCCTAATTCGGATTAGGAGACCAACTGAGAAAAGTTCTGAACTTTTTTGAGTTCTTAACTCAACTTCAATATTATTTCCGAACGTTTTTGCCAGAATTGCCACACTTGATTTTAATTTAATTTCTAGTTTTTTCGCTTCACAAGGCACTTGAATTATGGCTTTGTTTCTAAAAATTGTTAAATTTATTTAAAATGAATTGAACGAAAAAATCCGCATAGAAAAAATATATACGTATGTGTAAAACACTTAACGTTCAAATTTCCAATCACGAATTCATTTTCATTAATATTGGCAACACCGTATGTTATCATTTTTACATCAAGAACAGTTTAGAACTATTGAATTAACAATGAGTAAATTAGAAAAAGTTCTAAACTAGAACGATGAATATGCCTTATCAATGTTTTTTAAAGGGCGGGACACCGCCCACTTTTAAGCAAACGTGTGGGATCAAACATTTGTAGAAAATTTCGGTTCGGTAATGGTTCAGTTAATTAGTAGAAAAAACGGTTAATACAGTTTACAGCCGGTTCATTTCAAAACTGGGTCGCGCTTTTAAATGAGGTTAAATTGTCATGTTTTCGGCAGTCACACAGGGCAATGTAAAAAGCTAAAGCTAAATCGGCATGACAACGCGCTACATTTTCGGCGTTCTCTACATGAGTACGTACCATACAAAATACCGTATTTCAAATTTAAAAAATCGAATTTTTTATTTTTGACCATTTTTTTTAGCTCTTCAGAGCAGTGTGATACGGATCAAAAAATCGATTTTTAACCAACCATATGACCAATACTGTATTCGATTATTTAACTTTAAATTAAAAAGTAATGAAGTTAGGCTTCTTAGGGTGGAGAATGTTGCTGATTTTCCGGTCCGCACCCGTGTAAGAAAGTCACGGTCCATGCTTTGCAATTAATTCTTAGAAAAAATAATACGTCCTGCTGCTTTGTTTTAAAAACCATAATTCCTTTCTCGTTTCTTATTTTATTTTGTGCTGTAGTTCTGTTTCCTTTATAATGTTGTATGCACATACAAATTTTAAAAGTATCCGCTTTTAACATGTAATTATTTATGAATTTATGAAAAATCACCGACAAACGCAACGTTTCGCTAACACGAATTTAAAATGCATCAACCATCTATTAAAAACAAAAACAACCGTTAAAATTCAATAATTCACGATTTGAAAACGAAAAATTAAAGCGGTTGCATCAGAGAACGTTTATAACGTTGCATTGAGCCACCTGTTACGCCTGTTGGCCGCGACGAGCTGGAACTGAGGCGCCAGCGTCTGTACACAGACCTTTTACGTGCCGCACATGCAGCCGTGGAGCATAACGTGCGCTTTACCCCGTTTGCAACTGATTTTCTCCATCCACATCAACTGTATCAGATGGATGCCAGAGAAGGCGACGGAGGAGTAGAAGTTAGAGGTGATCGACTCTTATATGAACTTAAGTAAAATGCAGTTTTCATAATGTTATTATTTTATCACCAACTCGTATGTATGCATATACAGTGATGGCCACGTAACTAGAGACACAACTTTTTTTAAGTTTGAACCATTTATTTTTTCTTTATTTTCAATTTATTCTTAACAAAAATATAGTTTATACTACACCGAAAAGCATGCAACTCAAAGTTTCACATCGTGTACAAGATTTATAAAAATTCTCGAAATTTCGAAAAGTGGTCACCAAATATAAATTTTTTTAATCAGAATTTCTAGCAGGATTTTGGGTATGCAGTTTTATAGTATAATACTGTGCAAGTTCCAACGACTAGGGATTCGCGAAGGTTTTGGGATTTTTTTTTGCTGCCAGTGTTACGCCTTTTCTTTCACCGAAGTACATATTACATAGGTATGTATGTATGTATGTAAAATTTTTTTTATATGGGAGAATATGAGCAACCCCGTCAACAAAAAAATCTCAAAAATCAGCACGGGTTATTAACTTGCATAATGTTATACAAAAGTTTAATGGGTTATAAGAGTTTTTTCTAGAAGTCCTGATTAAAAAGTTTGAAACTTTGAGTTACTTGGTTTTTGTTGTGGTATAAACTATATTTTTGTAAAGAAAGTAAAATAAATTAAAAAATTAACGAATATATAAATTGTCAAAACTTGTAAAGAAGTGGTATTCTTAATTATGATTATATGTATGTACTAAGTATGTATTTATTGCATGCTTCGAGGAAATTTCCTGTATCCCTTTCCGACCTGAATCAAATTGGGTGGTGGCTAAAACTTTTTTGATGGCATAGTCCGGTCAATTTAGATATTCGAGGTTACAAACCCATCTGAAAATTGGTAGGATTGTTCAAAACACCATCATAAATGAAATCTAAAAAGTCCTCATCGATCCGATACCTGGAAAACAAGTTACTCGGGGTCAAAGGTCACAAAAACGGGGTTTTAGCGATTTTCAGCAACATAACGTCATAAATGAAATCAAGAAAGTCCTCATCGATCCGATACCTAGAAAAAAAGTTACTCGGGGTCAAAGGTCACAAAAACGGTTTTTCGTGATTTTCAGCAAAACGGTAAGTTTATCATAAAATTAGTTTAGATACAAATTTTAGATCAGATAATTATCTATAAAAAATGTCTTAAAACTTTTTTTCAAAAAGTGGGAAGAGTTGAAATCGGCATAATATGTATAAGTACAACAAAGGTGGCGTGGAAACGTGTGCATATTATGACGATTACAACTCTTCCAACTTTTTGAATCGTTATATCTCGGAAACGGTAGCTCTTAGGACAAAGGGCTTTTAGACATTTTTTATAGATAATTATCTGATATACAATTTTTGTCTAAACTAATTTTATGATAAACTCACCGTTTTGCAGAAAATCGCGAAAAAGCCATTTTTGTGACCTTTGACGCCGAGTAACTTTTTTTCTAGGTATCGGATCGATGAGGACTTTCTAGATTTTATTTATGATGGTGTTTTGAACAATCCTACCAATTTTCAGTTGGGTGGGAATTTTTGTAACTTCACTCCAATTTTTGGTCTAATTTGACCGGACTAGCATATTATTGCTGGTTGAGATTTAAATATGAACTGTATAAATTTTAAATGTCTATGACTGCTTGTTTTGCCGAACTGAAATGTTGCTTATAAATGTTTACAAAGTTTCCTAACAGAAACCAATAATAATATTCAAGGTTTGATGTTTTTATTTAACTGTAATAAATTTTATAGTCTAATTCCGAAATAAAAGTCTCTTTCGGATTATAAACAAACCGCTTATCCAAATGAAACAAGTTTGGTATCAAAGGAAAGAGGTCTTAAATAGCTTTAAAAATGAAATATCTAAACGAGGAAAGCCACATATTGAAAAATATTTCAACAAAAAATGTTAATTAATTACCATAGAACAAACCTTGTGTCAGGTATATGCATTTCTTTAGTATTAAATTATAAAAAAAAAATTATAAATATAGGTCGTTCGTTATTTCTGCCACGAAAATTTATCTGGTTTCGATAGTAAAGAACTAAAATGTTTGCTTGATAGCCTCTTTATTTAACTTAATTTTTTTGAGTGGTATATAGTGCTCTTGACGCACTGCTGCACTTATAGTCACTTTGTGTTTTCGTACGTGGGAACGGCCCCCTGCAAACTAAAAAGAACCGGATATTGGTATAACACTGAGTGGGACTACGTGGTGGAACATTGGTGGAAGGAAAGGAGTTTACGTGTCTGCAGTGACAACCAAGCTGCAATTAAGGCCTTGGCCAGTCCTCTAACTACTTCCAAACTAGTTCGGCAATGCAAGTCTCGACTAAATTATGGTGGTAAACATAACGAGCTTGCTTTACTCTGGGTGCCAGGTCACTCACGAGTACCTGGTAATGAGACATCTGATCATTTGGCCAGAATTGGCTCAGACCAGGCATTCCTCGGTCCGCAACCAGTTTTAGCACACCCACTTTCAGAAACTGGGTGTTCGCTCAGCAATGACTGGAAGGCATCGAGGGATGGAGGTGTGCAAAACTCATGTTGCCTTCAATCTCAGAAGGTCTTACTGGTTTTTTGCTCACACTGAGCAGACGACACTGCAGAAAACTTGTTGGACTGCTGACTGGTCACTTCACGTTGCACAAACACCTGGCCGTGACAAGCGTAAATGACAAGTCCATTTGTCCATTCTGCCGTGAAGAGGATGAGACGGTGGAACACTTTGTCATCGATTTTTCTAGACTCCCTCAAGGCGTATTTAAAAAGGTGGTGTTGGCCGTATATAAGTAAAAAATTACACTAACAAATTATACGCTGATATCCATACTGTCATTGGTATGAGTTACAACAAACACATGATTTTGACGTAATGGCCTCCACGGCGAAAAACTCAGCTGTCGCCCCA